GGGGATCGAAATGGCTCAGAGCATAAATGCTTTACAAACATTGCTTGAGCGCACCTGAGCTGAACTGTGACAGAGAATAGCTGCGGTTTGGAATGAGAGCCCCATATTGATCCGAGTGGCTCATTGCCAGGCTCATGTTTATGTTTTGGTTTTATTAGGTTTTTACTCACAGCCTGGTGTGCATTACTAATGAATCTTGCTCACACAAAAAGAGATCTGGAATATTTGTATTTTATGACGTCTTCAAATGGCAGAATGACTAAATCCTATGTTGTTTGCAGCACCATGGTTTTTTCCTGTCCCACCTAGGTGGACCTGTTCCTCATACTGCGTGATTCAGCCATCATACAGCAGCATGCCTCCTTCAAAGGCCAAGTGGAGGCTGTATTGAGAACCTGTCAAAAACAGAAGTTCACACCTCCATAGAGTATTCAGAATACACTCCGTGAATTACTTTTATGCTAAAAAGAAAACACATGCATCACTGTTTTTTATATGAAATCTTCATTCAAGCAGCTGTTCTTTTTACCTCTTACCTTCACTAGGGCTTGGTTAGGACTTTGCTTATTAAGAAAGCCATTTTAACAAACTCTTAATCATCATCCCTTTGAATTAAATGCCCTTTTGAAGAATACCCATGTGTGAGAACAAATTTATGAATGTAAAATATTTGGTAAATCTACGTATTGTATTAGCTATCTTAATTCAATACAGTCCAATTGTCCTATTTTATTTATATCATGACATTTTTCTTGTAATATATTTTCTAATCAGACATGTCTTAATTGATCATTCTGCATTCTTGAGTAAGAAAAATGCAGTGTAAGAGCTTCACAGATTATTGAATTTTTAGTGCATTTATTGTCATTTTTCTTTATCTGACATAAAATTACTATGCAAAGGAATACTTATCAGTCCCCACTAGAAATGTTAATATTAGATAAGAAGCATACATTTCTTCTGTAGTCTCCATATATATTTCTACAAGTATGGAGCTGGTCTAAAGAATATTATAAATCAATGGAAAATCTCAAAATCATTTCAGTGAGTTTTGGATCAGATTCCTGATGAACAATAATAACTACAAAATATATAGTGGATGCCAAACACACTTTTAACAATAACAACTAGTACAGCTACATTTAACACACTAACCATAGTTGCATGTACGTGTTATCTATGCAATAATATTAATAAAACAACTCACATACACAAATGGAAATCATTCTCAAGTGCAAAAAATCAGTACCTCAAAATTAAATGGTATTTTGTATTTTTCTCATACAACTGTATTTGTCATAGACTTTGATGTTCCAGCTTACCAAAATATTTTTGCTACCTTTTTACATTTGTTCTTTTTAACAATTAATTGGAATATGTTTATGACTACTAATATGCAACTCTATCCCCAGTATAAATAGAAAAAATTGCTGCAACCCTCCTAATAGCAACAGTATCTATAGACCACTCTGTACAAATAGTAACAGAGGTGAGAGAAGTACACTTGATACTAAAAATAAAATCAAAATGAAGGATTCACATTAAATCTGCAACTAGTCCATCCAAATAAATTAGCCTGAGTTCTTTATGCAGTGAATTAAAATTAAAAGAAATAATGATTAGCTTTCTATGATAACCCCAAATTATTTTCTTATATTAATACCATGAAAAGATTTACATATCTAATAATAAATGCACTTAATTTGTGTCCCAGGGGATGAAAATTACTGCCCTTCCACTAATCTGAGATTACTTAAATTTGCAGTGAAATCCATGCTGCAATCATATCTGGAGAGAAAAATGCCAGAGATTTCCATTTGGTGTAACTGCCAATAATCTCATCCATTTGTCCTTGCCTTCTAACCTCTTTTATCTAGACACATGCACAATCAACCACATGTTATGAATCATATGGAATCCATGTGCTGCCTAGATTTAAAGGATAGTCTTTTTTTCCCCTGTCTAACAATCAACCATCATTACAAAGATTATACACACACAAATATGAATACAAAGTTTCTAACAAAAAAACCCCAGAGCATTTGCTTACATCATGGTGATGGCCCACAGCAGTACCCCAATAAAGCCTATGGACTCCAAAAGCTTAATATAGGCATCCAGTGAAATAGATTAAATGACCACATCCGTCTTTGCCTCTCTTCATTGAAGCATACACTGCTACAGTTTAATCCGTAATTTTTAATCTATCTAATATAATACTGACTTTCACATATCATTCCATTACCTGTCCTTGAACAGAATTACTGCCCCTTGCCTCACGCACCGCCAGATTCTCCACTTTTTGCAACCAACCCCAGACCAACACAGCTGAAAACTTCCATTTAAAATCTTTCCTGTTCCCTTGTTGCTCAGGACTCGACAAACGAAGCAGCAGCTCAACTAGGAAGTGTCGCCTGAATGCTAAACCATTTTAAAACAAGGATGCTTTTGTCATTTTAAAACATGCATGCAATGTTGTTTTTTTTTTCTTTTAAAAAAAAATATAAATATACATATAGAGATATATGTAGTGTGTGGGTATATATACATATATAGATATAGATATGGAAATAAGTGTGGGGGAGCGGTTGGGGGGTGGGGGGAAACCTTTCAGACAATTGACCGAACCTCAAAATAAAATAAAATAAAAAATCGCTAGGAAGTGTCCATACTACCACCTTGTGGAATCTTCTCGCAAGAACAGCACCTGGTTGTTTCGACAAAGTTCTATTTCCCCCTGCGTCTACTATTAAAATTAGCTTAGTTTCAGGGGTAGATAAGGCTTCTATTATTAGGTTCCTTAATGAAAATAAGGGATAGGCCGGCAGTATAGGCGATTCACTTATCTCTTGAGTTTCTTTCTTTTCGTGTCTTTTTAAATGATTGCCTCGTCTCAGAGTGATAATCAAATACATAAGAAGAAGAACAATGTTAATAAATGGCATGCAGCCACATCCTGGTGAATTCCAGCACCAAGGGGTGCCTGCAAAAGGAAACAGGAAAACCAGTGCTTGTGAAATCAGCCTCAGCCTCTTGGCTAAGACCAGGAGGAGGGAGAGGGAGGCAATGCCCTCCAGCAGAGCTGGTTCCTCTGGGAATAAAGGCACCGTTGCCCTGAGATGGGCATGAAGCTCTAGGGTGCCCCCTTGAGCCACAAATGGGATGGCAGGCAAGGCTGGCGGGATGCCCAGGCGCACTGTGGCCTCTGCAGGCTGCTTCTCTCCCTGGGATCTCTGCAGTGATGGGGGCAGAAGCCAGGGGATCCATCCGGGGCAGCTGGGGGCAAGGAGGAAGGAGCACAGCCCTGCAGGCTGCCGGCTCGAGGCAGTGCCCATCCTCCGGGGCACAGCGAGGAGGGGGAGTCCCAGGGAGGCTCGGCCTGTGCTGCGGGGGAGGGCGCCCGCACCCTTTGCACCGGGGCCCGGACGG